CATCCATTGCTGCCAACCTCCTTCAACAGGACATGTGTATACAGCACCCTGGTGTTGCTAACCCTGTCCAAGCCAGCTGGAGAGGGACTTTGGGGGACTTCTATGTCCCAGAGCCCAGAAGAGGTCACCTTCACCTCCAGAGGGAGGGGATGTGATGCTCTCCCTCCTATTTTGCCCCCAGGGTCTCCAGAGATGGGCAGGCAAACCTCAGCTGGTGACACCACAAGCCCCAGGGAAGGTGCCTTCTGCTGGCAGAAACTCTGTGGGTACAACTTGCTAAAAATTCCCCCTCTCTCTCACGAACCTCCCTCTGCAGTGACACAGGGGCTGTTGTTTCAACAATCTGCTCACATTCATGATGGGTTGAGCATCCCCAACACAGCCTGGGGCTTTCTGCCTGCCCCAGACCTCTTGTCACACCATGGAGCAGAACAGGGTGTCAGTGTACCCCCAGCACCAGCAAAACTCATCATCTCATAATATCACAGTATGTTAAGGAGTTGGAATGGACATTAGAGATCATGCAGTCCCAACCCCCTGCCCTGGGCAGGGACACCTCCCACCAGACCAGGTTGATCAAGGTTTTACCAAACCTGGCATTGAACACTGCCAGGGTTGGGGCAGCCACAACATCCCTGGGCAACCTGTGCCAGTGTCTTACCAGACACTGGTAACATGTCCTGCCTATGGAAGCAGTTCCAGCACTGGGCAGACACTTTTCCATGATTTATAATGGTGTAGTAGCAGGCTTGTAGCCATCAAGGTGTCCTTCCACCCCAGCAAGGGGTTTCACAAACACTGGATTTTCTCCTGAGATTTAATTACTCTTGGTTATAGGACTCATGTAGGCATTAAACATAAAATAATGAAAGGAAATGACAGGTTTAATGTTTACCAGAAGGGGATTGGATTGCCACACGTGCCTTACACTCCCTTTTGTTCAACAGGTTTGTTTTAATAAATGATCTAGTAGAAGATGTCCCTGCCCATGGCAGGGGGTAGAATGAGATGAGCTGTAAGGTCCCTTCCAACCCAAACCATTCCCTGATAAATGGCCTCTTTAATAGCCATTTCCTTCATTTTAATGACTTCCCAAGCACATCCAGATGTGCTCAGGGAGGACACAAACCTGGGTGCTTTTATTTTCTGTCACCCAGCAGAATTCAAGTCCTTTGCTCAAAGCCCATCAATCACTTTGCAAGTAGGAATCAGAGCCTCTTTATCCTTTACACAATCTTTGTTATTTTCTTCTGGTTAAATAAAAGCAATCAACCTTCTTCAGGAAATGGTGCTTGATCACATTATCTTAGAAACCACAGACTGGAGTTGGCTTCCCCACTGCTAATTCCCCAGGCTTGCTTGCTGCCAGTGCATTCATTACCTCTTATCAGGGATTCCTATTTTTAAGCAAGAAAGAGCATGTCTCCCCAGGAAAAGCGGTATCCAGGCATGGAGGAGAGATGAACATTTTCTTTGTTAACTGTTTGTTTCACCTGATGTGGCAGGAGGCAAACCATATGCCCCTTTCTGCCAAGCTAAGTGGCTGAAAATTCACAGACTGGTTTGGGTTGGAAGGGATCTTAAAGATCATCCCATCCCCCCCCCCTGTCACGGGCAGGCACACCTTCCACTAGACCAGGTTGCTCCAAGCCCTCTCCAGCCTGGCCTGTAATGCATCTGGGGATGGGACAGCACAGCTTCTTTGGGCAGTGTAAGTGCATCATCACCCTCCTAGGGAAGAATTTCCTCCTAATATCTAATCTAAACTCACCTCTGCCAGTTTAAATCCATTTAGGTGCCATTAGGACTATTTGGGTGAAATGTTCCTCCTTTCTTTTCAGGACTGATGTGCTCCATTGCAGGTACATATACACTGCCAGCACTGCCCATTCTGGTGTGTTACCATAGTCTTGAGGCCCCTTGTTTTCCTGGTTCATATGGCTGAATGTCTTTCCCAGGGGAACTGGCACTGGGCAGGAGGAGCTGGAAGGAGTATGTTGAGATTGGCTGAAATGGGAGCCATCAGCCCCATTCCCTTCCCTGGGTTCCATCCTCTGGCTCAGGGTCTGGACACAAGTGATGAAGTAGGTGCAGGGCTGGAAGAAGCCAGGTGATGACTCTGATAGACTAAACACACCATGCAAAGTGCTGCCTGACATTCAAGCTGGGCCAAGCTGGCATGGAACTTTCCGTTAGTCCTTTGTTTTGCTGAAGGAAAATGTGACTTGTGGGCAATAAAAAACTTCCCGAAGAGACAGATCACTTTCTCCTTTTATCTTCAGAAACACCTGACTGGAATATTTTGAGTCAGATGCGGAGATTTCTGTTGAAATGATCACCTTGGGACAATACAGCCTCACAGTCAGCTCACTATGAAATCATTCTGCAAATATTGCTCTGAATACCCTCATGTCTTCAGGGACTGGCTTGGTGCCTTCTCTTTACAGGGGAAGTGTCCGAGGAACCTATGACCAGCTCTGCTTACATGAAATGTGGATCAGGCTTTATAGAATCATAGAATCACGGAATGCTTAGGGTTGGGAGGGACCTAAATGACAACCTTGTTCCACCTTCTGCCATGGGCAGGGACACCTTCCACTAGACCAGGTTGCTCCAAGCCCCATCCAACCCAGTCTTTAACACTTCAAGGGATGGGAAAATTATAAAGGTCTTATTGGAGCCTTCTCCAGGCTGAACAACCACAACTCCCTCCTCACAGGAGGGGAGGTCCAGCCCTCTGACCACCTTCATGGGGGTGT